CCGAGATTCACAGAATTTACAGAAAATGTTACATTTTTGTGATTTATATCGTTATCAGGACGATAGATGTCTTATATGGGGATATGAGATTTTGGTCATATCGCACAGCCCTACCTACCAAATAGAGAAAAGATCATTCCCCTCTTGTAACATCAAAATGGGGAAAAGCACCACCTATTACCAAATCTAGTAACTTGAGTAACTTGTTGGCGTCTTCACACAATCCAAAGGCAGGAATGTTAAGTTTCTTGTTGATTCTTGATTGGCCACATGTAAGATAGGGAGTTCATGTGGTTGCAAACATCCAGAGTGAACCTTGCCTTTTGACCAGTGTCTGCTGGGACTGGCTCCAGCCCAGTTTTCCCTCCTGGCTGCAGTATTCTTCTGAACGATAGATGCATCCAGTCAGAAGAAGTAGAAGATGTGGAAATGGGAAGCAAAGTTTTCTCAAAGTTTGCTTCAGAACGTCTGACATCTCTTGACGTGTAATCTGGGAATCTCTGAGCTCCTGCACTGATATATTATTGAAACTGCAGTAAAGACCAACCCACTCGAGTATCCTGAATCAGTGTGTTTCTGTTTTAAGATGTCCAAAGTGCAGCTATCACATTAGAAATAATGCTAAACTTTCTGCTAGCTTTCCTTTCTTGTAGCACCAGTGTTCCCTTGTGCTTATATTCAACATATAAGAAACATATGATCTGGTCTTCTTAACAAATATAAGAAGCACTCAGTTAATCAATTTTGTGCAGAAGAGTCAAAATATACACTCTGTTACTATTATATGCACTTTATGTACCTTTTATGGGCTTGCAGACAGACTGATAAAGAAAGTCTAGCTTAACAATGGAAGCTGATAACCACTGCTGTGATACCCATTATCTTAAACAAGAGTTTTAGGGGTTCAGATCCCGGACGAGCCCCCAAGCCTGGCTATTTAATGTAATGTAGCACCAAGCTGCTAACTTGTACCAAAGCTGACTCTTGTTAAGCAAGAAAGGTTCAGTAACTTCAGTAAAAGCAGGAACAACCATCTGTTTAGAAATAGACACAATGCTGGGACATTAAAGACTTACATTATCTTGTTAAAAGTTGGTACAATATAGGACTTTGAAGTGGTCCTAAGAGACAATGATCTGTCCCTTAGTCATTTAAAAGCAGGACCACAAAATTTAAGGGGATAGAAACTACACAGAACACTCAAGCTGAGCTTTGCTTCCATCAGCCTTTGAATTACCCATTGCATGTATGCAGCCTTGTCTGGTTTCTGTCTTTTAAAGTGTCCTTTAAATTGATTTAGCACATGCATCACAGAGTCACTGAGTGAACTGCAGGCAAAGGAGCACTCTTAAAAAGAAAAAAAGAGATGCTTTGGTTAACGTTGCCAAAAAAAACAGAGCAGCTGAAAGTTGTATATCACTTTGTAGTGCCTCACAAGCTGATCAGAAAAATACCAAACCCTAATGAAAACTTTGTGCTGATAATATCAGCCTGCAGGCTACTAAACAGTCTGTAGAACATTTTTCTGACTATAAAAGTCATCATGTCCCTTATTAATTTGTGCAGCTGCGTTTCTTCAAAACATTTAAATGCTTAAATCAACTATTACCTATAATCTGGATAAATCACTGCAATTACACAAAGAAAAAACACACAAATCAGAATTTGCTGGGTTCTGCTACACACTTTAGTAAGAGTTTCCATTTTTTTCTGAAATTCGTGGCATCGGTTTTTCATTAAATCTGTTTTACACGACTGTGCTCTTGTTTCAGGGGGTTTGTGCTTATGTGCACAAGGACGACAATGCCTGAGTGTGTGTGTGTGAAACTGTGTGTACACACGTCTGCCTGAAAGATACACAGAGGACTTGTGTGTTTGTATGTGTCTGCTGCCCTGCTGATGGTGGAGAGAGCAGTGCGGCAGCGCAGATGAGATGAGATTAAAGCCAGTCAGAGGATCAATTAGAGGCAAAACATCAGACGGCTACACAGCTACGGCCAGCAACAATGAGATTAGCCCCGAGGTGGAGCAGAGAGCAGGCAACCACATCTGTGTGTGCATGTTTGTGTGTGGATGTGAATGTGTGGACAGAGACAGAGAGATGGGGGGAAAAAAGAGGAAATGAAGGGGGCTGGGGGAGGCGAGTAACACATACATTAACTACAGAAGGAAAAAGGAACAAAGCATGAAAAATTCTGGTTTATTTCAGTTCAGGCTTTGTTTTTAGGGAACATGATACCATCGTTTCAATCATGTTAAGTGTCTAACAGGGCTACAATCAACACCAGTCAGCAACTGGATTTGATTGCACTGCGTACTTTAGGGTTTCACCAACATGTCCTTCAAACTCAACTAAAAGAAAATGTTTTTCCAGATATCCTAATTTGAAGGATGGCATTATCTGTCTGTGCCAAAATAGTGCAAATCACGGCTGGAAAAAATTACATTTTATGATCCATTAGCACGGCAAAAGTTTTGTTTGCTCACGTAGTCCAATCTCCTCCTTCTGCAGGCTTCGTGGCTCTGTAATAACATCACCCAACTTCCTTCTTTGTTCGCTGACAGACAACAGCCTTTGTTCCAGCAAACACTAAAGGGACATGTCGCTTGATCATTAAGGCATGCTTTTTCAGGGCATTTGCCGAAACAACTGATGCCGTCCATTTTCTTCGAAGAAGAATCTAATTAAGGGAGTTGTTAGACTGTTCAGATGAGTTTTGGAAATTAATAATGTAACTGTCAGATTCCCAAACAAAGGAAACACTTTTCAAGAGAAGCACAACGACGGCGTCACTTCTTTGCTAAAACTGAAATCATTTGTATTTTAAGAAAACCTATGAAAATGACTTGCTGTGCAAAAGGGAAGGTGGTGAAGGGTATGGAGGAGGTAGAGTGAAAACACAAAAAGTATATATATGAATATAACACAAAGAAGTTGCACAACAACCAAAATCTACATTGGTTAAAAACAGTGAAAAGATGGCGTTGTGTGTCAACCATCAGCTCTGACGCGCAGCACGCACAGCTTAACTCACCATGATATAATGGCGCTGCATCTCTGACTTCTCACTGGCCAACTTGTCACACTCGAGCTTCAAACTGGAGAGAGAGGGAGGGGAGAGGAGGACAGAGTCAGACCTTGTTATTCAGCTCGACAGTCTTCCTTCTAAAAGTGCTGACACCAGGTGACTTCTACCCCCCTTCATCATCATTACCTCCACTTTCACCGGCGGCACTGTCATCACTTTCATCATTGCTTCAACCGCCACCACCATCATCAGCAGCAGCACCGCCTCTGTTCTCATCATCCCCCGCCACCATTTTCATCTATATCATCGCTGCCAACTGCATCATCATCGTTAGCACCATCATCATCATCATCATCATCATCCTCGCCTTTATTAGTCAGTGGCAGCGTGTTCGCCACACCTGACATGTGTCGATTGACAGGAGGAGGTCAAACTCCCTCTGAACTCCAGAGACGAGCCGAGCCAAAATGTCTGCTCGCTAAATCAAAGAAGAGGCAGCGAAGCAAAAAGTCTAAATATAGTGTTGACGCGTTCTCTGCGACCCTTTCCCTGCGACAGCCATTAGCTGTAATCATGTCAGCGTTGATGTCACGCGAGGCGACAGGACAAAGGAGGATGCATCAACAAGTCGGCCTGATTGTCAAATAAAAACGACAGAGGTGGAAAAAAAAAGAGCCCCTCTGTGATTTTGATTGAAGCAGCCTTTTATAGCGTGTCAGTCACAGGCGGAATCATCCGATGTGAAGCGTGGGTAAGACTCATCAAAATATGCAGACACACATGCTCGATAGGTTCAGATTTAGGATAAGTCTGTAACCTGTTTGATGGTGTGTGTATATTTATGCAGGGTTGTTCTTCGCAGCTGTCTGCGGGAATGACAGCTCGATTATAGCGAGCGATGGCTCAGTCTTTGCCGCTGTTAGTCTTAACTGGCAGACTGAACACCGTGTTACACACAGGCAATAATGTAAGCTTACTCATACACACAGAATTGTGCTGCTTTTTCTATACTTACTGTAGCTACTGCAGTGTAGACTGCAGCTAGAGCCTCCACCCTTGCCCGGACTTTAAATACAAAAACCACAATATGCCGTAATTGTCGGGCTATAAGCCGCTACTTTTTGCACAAGCTTTGAACCCTGCGGCTTTTAGTCAGGTGCGGCTTTTCTATGGATTGTCCATGATTTTTGTGATATCGTAAGACGATTTGTTTTGTTTGTTCCGCTGTTGTACGGC